AATAATTTTTTATTTTATTATTATATTTTAATAGCTCTATTTTAATTCCATAATTATTTCCATTGTTAGTTATATTTATTATCTATGTTAACTTTTAATCATTTTAGGTTTAGACTGAGGCCCGATCCAATCCGTTAATGATCTTGACTATGCTAGACCGAGCTCCACCTAGTTGGATGGATAAGCGGGCCAACAGGCAAGCCGCCCATTTTGCTACTTTACACAGAGTAATAAAAAGAAGAGGCGCATTGGAGAATTTTTGGGACTGTTGGTGTTTTATTGCTAAAACCCTATCTTGTTCGTTGCACTTGCATCCGGAATGAAACCATAAACCCTTAAAAATTTACACTGCTATAACCGCGCATTTTCTGGGTTATTTAACGTTCCGACAACGGCAAAAGGGAACCGGTGATTACAGCTTTGCTATGCCCGTTAAGCTTTTTCCACACTTCCGTCTCCTCGGCCCTTCTCTCCGGGTCTCCTGTTTCCCTCTCATGGAACCCGGACCTCTTCTTCACTCCTCTCGGACAAGGCCCGGTCTCTGTCATGTCTTTCCTTTCAGGCTCAAATACGTAGTCTTGGGTTCTCGAGTAACCCAACAGCTTGGTGTACGCAGATTCTCGACGCGCTCGTTTCGATCCAGACTGGGAACAAGCTCTGAATTTACTAGTAACCGCGACAGAGAAGAGGTTCCTGGCTCGAAGAGTCTCGTCGAGGACGAGGCTGAACTCAATGACTGGGTCAGTGGGCTGAGAACTGACAAGTTCCGTGGCCGACTCACTAGTGACGACGAGGAACTGAACTTAAATAGGGGCCGTAATCGGGATAGGGACAGATATGGAGGTCGTGATAGAGATACTGACAGGAGAAGAGAATCCTATAAAATGAAGAGGAGAAGGGAGAGGGACGTGGAAGAGCTCGATGAGTCGAGCAGAAGGAGAACTCGGAGCTCGGGCGAGTTATTCTCGAGGAATTCACGGTTTAGTAAGGGATTTGCTGGTGAATTGGAGAAAGAGGAGGAGGATGAGGAAGGATTCTTATCACGCAGGAAGAATCGTGAGAATCAGAAGAAGAATGCCGGTTCGTTGATGGGGAAGAGAAATGAGAAGAATTTGTATTCTGGGTTTAGGAGAGGTGGAGGAAGACAAGAGGGTTTAAAGAAGCAATGGAACAATTCGAGAAAAGAAACACGCTTTATAGAGGAGGAAGATGTCGAGCATGACGACAATGATGCTGATGTTATTGATTTTGATGAGGAGAGAAGAAGAGTAATGGGTGACATTGGCGATTTGCTTAGTGAAGAAGGGAGTGACGAGGATGGCGACGATTCTCTCTTTAAAAGTAAAGCGAGTTCTGCACTTGGGTTGGATAAGGAAGTTAACAAGAAGGATGCCTCTAGAAGTTCTCCGGGAAAATCTGATTCTTATTTGAGTGAGATCAGGTATTTTGTTGCTCTGGTTTTTCTTTTAATATGGTTGACGTTCATTTCACCTTGTTATGAGTACTCTTTTTCTTCATATTTTATGTTGTTCTTTGGAATTATAATAGAGAGAAAAAGTTGAAGCACACAACTACAAGGTAAAAGGAGAGGATTGTAATTCTTCACTTTAACAGAGTCTTTCTTTTTCAATTGCTAGTTTTCTGTAAATAGCTTTTTGTTTCTTTTTGGCGTTGTTCCTATAAAACATTTGGGTTATGTGATGCCTACAGCTTCGATCAATGTCCTATCTCTCCCTTATCATTAAAAGGAATCAAGGATGCTGGTTATGAGAAA